AATACTGCATTTGTTTGTGAAGTATCAGGAGATACGGCCTTTGTTCTTGGCTGCTGCTCGGCCAATGAAAGTGGAGTGGAAAATGAGTCCATATTTTGGTGTGTTACCCCTTGTCTTCAGGGCTCTGGAAACTCAGTCCCTTTGCTGGGCCCTGGGAAATCACTCAGACACCAGGACTGGCCATCCCCTTAGGTTTTTTGCTCAATGCTAATGCTCTACCACTTAAGCCATAGCTCCACTAAGGGAGATTTGTTCTTACCAGTGTTCTTACACATATGTATCAGAGGAGACATTTTTTAGTATTTGAAGAGTAATGATTTCCTTACTCTATATTCTGTATCAGAAGTAATGTCTGTGAAAGAGAAAGGTGCCCATTCTGTTAAAGTGGCTGTAAAACCAGTTAAACCAATGGTTAAGTGGGGCTACTTCTATCTTTACATTTATTAAAGTCCATCCACAACTACAATGTTTCTAGAAAACTCCAGTATTGGGGTGAACTGTTGCAGTTACAAACTAGCTCAGTATTCTCAGACATTTAGTTTGTTGAACACACACACACATGTGCTGACTAATGGACAGTTTTAAGACTCAAAGGGGTGCCATGACTTGGAATTATTTGACACTTTGAACACTAACATCAGTAGAAATTAAAAAAAAAAGAGGAATCTATGCACAGTTCAGTCTCTAAAACAAAGTTATTTGTACATTTCCTTTCAGCCCTTGTTCAAATCTGTACATCCATGAATACATTAATAATAATTGCAGATTAGATGCAGTTATATATTCCACATCTTCCTCGCACACAGATGCATACACAAGAATGATAGTAAGCAATGTTCCAAACCAGGGCCCTGTGATAACAGCCTGTTCAGGCCTGTGGACTGACAGTCCCATAGATATTGGCAGGATAGTGAGACACACCCTGTTCTGCCTGTGTTATTTATGCCTCTGGCAGTGAAGCCCCTGACAAAGAAGCATGTCACTGGAACACATGCTCTTTGTTCACAGAGGTGCATGCCAGCACCGGCTGTGTGAGAAAGCACAGTGCTGGGTCTGTAGTCTCCCCGTCTTTAGCTCTTTTGCTTTCTTTTTATTGGCTGTATATTGTGGCTATGGTTATTAATTGCTTTGTAGCTTTTTCTTATACAGCATACACTTATCTGGGGGAGCTAAGAACACTAGAGTTGGCCATAAAGAGAAAATTAAGATCTCAGGATTAGTCCTTAAGATTTTTCCACCTGGGGTGGTATCCTTAGATACCATCTTCCCTGCCTTATAAGCCACAGGTTACTACTCTCCAGCACAGAGCCAACTATCTGACACATCTGGGCTCCTTTAGCATCTCTTCACCTGTAAGATGACACCTGCATACCGTTTGGTATTAAAAGCTCTCTGCAACTATTCCTAACCTATTGTACCAATCCAGACTACTTGCTAGTGGAATAGAAAGTTGGCAGCCTTCCATACCACCTATGTAGGTCTGAACCCTAGCTCTATCATAAGGTGCCAGAACCTTAGCTCCTCAACATGTAAGATGATTAAAATATCACCTACTTCACAGGGTTGTTTGGGAGAACCCTCAAACCCCCTAAAGCCTGTTTGAAGCTGGTTAGTAATTTTGTAAAGCTTCAGGAATAAACCAGGTGCTTCACACCTGTAATCCTAACTACTCAGGAGACTGAAATCTGAGAATCATGGTTTGAAGCCAGCCGGGAAAGGAAAAGCTGTGAGACCAACAAAAAAAATTAAACCAACAAAAAAAGTTGGAAGTGGAGCCATGGCTCAAATGGTAGAGCATTAGCCTTGAACAAAAAAGCTCAGAGAGGGGCTGGGAAGGTGGCTCAGTGGTAGAGCGCTTGCCTTGCATGCATGAGGCCCTGAGTTAGATTCCTCAGCACCACATAAGCAAAAAGAAAAGCTGGAAGTGGTACTTTAGCTCAAGTGGTAAGGTTTGAGCTGAAGAGCTGAGGGACAGCACCCAGGCCCAGAGTTCAGGACCCACGACCGGCCCCCCCCCAAAAAAAAAACTCAGAGATAGTGCCCAGGTCCAGTACAGAAAAAATAATTAAAAGCTTCATAGTCCAGTGGTCTCCAGAGCTCTGTAGTTAGAGATTATTTGTAACTGTACTTGAGAAGCAAATCCCTTATCAGTAACAGGAGTCAGGAAGCTACACACTATACTTTTTTTCTTTCCCTATATTCCTTTTTAAAATTTTCCTGTTTTGAAATGTTAATTCATTATTTTTAAACTGATCATTGGTTGCCACTGAGGTGAGTGGGAAAAGGTGAGGCTTAACCCTTCCTTAACTTGAGGTTCATGCATAGGATTTTAAGTTTTGCTCTACTGATGTGCATTTTTAAGGCCTCCAGTCACTACTAGAAGTAAGAAGGCTTCTACGTATTTACGAACTTTAAGCTGAGCAGAATGTTAGTCCCTGACCCCAGGGACCTTAAGAGGCAGATCATGACAAAAGCTGCCCGCCAAGAGAATTTACACACCTCACCGGGATGTCCTCAGAGGTCGAGTCTGTGTGGAAACCAAGCTATCCTTTAGAAATGCAAGTTGTTGCTAGGTGTTGGTGGTTTATGCTAATAATCCTAGCTACTCAGGAGGTTGAGATCTGAGGACCAGGATTCGAAGCCAGCCCAAAGGGCCTGAAGTGGTGGTGCTGAGGCTCAAAGTGGTAACGCGCTGACCTTGAGCAAAACGAGCTCGGGGACAGCCCAGACCCTGAGTTCAAGCCCCAGCACAGACAAAAAAACGAAAACAAAAACAAAAAGCGAATTCCTTCCGCTGCTGTAGGGCTTTGGGCTAGCGGCCCGGACTGCTGGGGTTCCAGGCCAACTCGGTGCGGACTCGGCCCCGCCGACTGTCCTGATGGACTCCCGGATGGCACATCCGACGTCAGCCGGCCGAGGACGGCCGACCCCAGACTGTGCTGGAGAGGAGGGAGCGACCCCCACAGCCCCTGCTCGTCCGCCTCTTGCACCTCTGGCGCGGGCGACTCCCCGCGAATAGACTCGGCCTAGAGGACCCTGGTCACCGCTCTCCCGCCACAGTCGGGTACGGAGGGGTCGGGGC